CTACTACCACCACTACCACTACCACCTGCTCTATCCCTCAAATAATATTCCCGGTAGCTATTGATGACTTCTGAATGGCCCTTATTGAAGAAGCCCTGCCTCCTAATAGGAGCAAAGTAAACAGCTTCTGTAAAGAGCTATCGTACAGTAAGCCAAGACAGTCAAACCGCACACCTTAAACAACCCCCGACAGGAAGGACTCCAAGCAACTGTTCAAAACCTTCATGGCTTCACTAGTGGGGAATAGTAGGCTTCTTGGACTACGAGTCGCCTTATGGTTATAAGTACACCTCTGGAGTCGGTGCAGAGTTTACGATTTAGGGTTTAGGTTTGGGGTTTAAGGTCTTGGCCTGTACGGCCCCTTTATGGGTACTATAAATGCACCTATATAGTCCCATTTGCGGAAGTCTGGGTATCATAGCCCAGAGCAATGGTCAAAAGTTATGGCATGGTCAACTTTATTCATGAATCCCTGAACCTGTCCAGACAAGCTTCAACTGGTCCCTACATCCTATACCCTGCTCATCCCTGGGTCCAAAACGATATCCCGACCATTGCCGAGCTTCGCATCAAAAAAGCCTGCAGCATCACATGCTGCAAGACACCGTAGAAAGGATAAATGAAGAAAATCAACCTCCAGAGCTCTCAGAAGAACCGGCTTAGGTCGGTCAGACAGTTATCAAAAACAACAACAGCAAAACCTGTCTGCCAGAACGTCTCCACGTAACCACAAGTGCCAGTTGTCGAATACAATCGTTCGGCCTTGCACAGCCGCGCCCACGCAGATGAAGATAATGGCAAAGATGGCGAAGAGGCTCGGAAACAGAAAACTTCTTCGTAAGTTGGGCTGGTCGACGCGCATTCCCCACAAGAAAAGAATCCTGGAACCATGCCTGCAGAACTGAAGGATGGCCCAGCAGATCCAGACGAATGCGCAGCAGCCGATGAAAATCGATACAGGCTTCAGGAGCTTCGTAATGAAGACAATGCCCGTGATCACCTGGTCTCTGGCTCAGGGTTCAAGGTTCAGGGCTTAGGGTTATCCAAATGAAGTTACCACAGCAGGGCCACCTTGTCGGCGACGATATAAGCCTGCTATTTACACAAGGAATCCAAATTAGCTACCACCCCTACTACCGAAACTTACTTGTCAAGTGTATAGTGTATGGAATATAATCACTACGTACAATACAAATCTCACCTAATGTGATCGCAAATCTTGCGCTGTCTTCAATAAACAAATTTTCTTGCTTGGAGCCCTGGCACTGTGGCGATGACCTCGAAGCACCGCTCCCAGCAGCTCAGTGTCGGCAGAGGTTCGGGCGATTTGGGGACGTCTACTTGGACGCTCTCTGCTGGCGTGGCTTTCTCAAACGTAGCCGGCCCTTCGGGATCTGCCATGGGTTCGGCCTATGAAGTATACATATACACATACATGTACACAT